GCCATCTTCTCGACTGGTTTGTATCTCTCATTGTTGAGAACCACGACCTGCAGGTGCGCAATCGCTGGCAGAACCCTAACGATCTCGGTATGACCCCCCGGTGAAATTTTGTGATGGCCGTATCTGACTGTTGGTATAGCTATTTGGGATAACCGATCGGTATACCACGCAGCGACTTGGGATTATGACGGTCTCGGTCCACGCACTGGACATCGTACTGTTGGGCTCGGAGAGAGGCCATATCTGGACCCCAAGAGCATTGGAAGACGGGAGGCACTCTCCAAGAGCGAATAGGTATTTTTATAATCCGCATTGGAAGATCGGCCTTCTCGCCATGCAATTTAAATGAAACTCTTGTTCTTGAACACGATTCATATGTGCGACACATAGTATCCAATGTCTACATGCATTTCCTCAAAAGGTTATTCCTTGGGACAATCCACCCATGGGTCCATTTCAGGCCTTGAGACGCGGTGACCTCAGTTTCCTAGTACGTTAATATTTAATTTCCTGACCTCGCGAACAACTTGATAAAATGGCGGATGAAGTTAGAAAGGAGTTCGGAGCTAGAAAATCCCCGATCATAGCAAGATTCTTTACACAAATTCAATCAAAAATCCAAATATAGAAGGCAATAAAAGAGCTGTGCTGAAGCCATATCAGTTTATGTACATCAAGCCGGCTGGGAGCTGACAGGTGACCATACCATGCAAACAGAGACTATTCCCAGGGCTACATAGGAGGTAAATCACCAAAAGACAAGTTTGGGTCCCGGATTCTAGAACCCTTCGGAATAATACTTTCTCCCAGCACTCTCATGTTTTCTATCCGTACCCTCCGGGGGGAAGTCACGTAAATATGGGCCTTGGTACCTCCTGGGTTGAGGAAGAGTGAGCAATGGCATGGATCTGGCTTTGTCTCGCCACTTCCTGTCACGGTGGTTGAATCGTAGCCCCTGTAGAATAATTAGGATACTTTATGGATGTGATCGAGCCTAGGATTTAATATGGCCTCATACAAGATGCGGACAGAGGTTTTCCCTATCCTTCGAGCACATGCGACAGCCACTTGCTCGGTGGCACTCTTCAATACATTCAATTCCGCCTGGTAGGTTGCAGCGCTTCCAGGTAGGTTGAAAATTGCGTTTGGGCTCCAAAAGAAACTGATACCGTCAAGGGTACCCGAATAGGACTCGGCGGGGATGGTGTTCTGAAGAGACATGGTAGAGGTGAGAATATTAACGAGATAAAATGCCTTAGGTCTTTTGGATGTGAAAACAGAGAGTCAAGATTGATGGTTCCTCTTGGATGATGTCTCCAACGCCTATATATATATATATATATATATGTAGAAAGTCTAGCCAGCAGGGGCCATTGAGGTCAAAGATAAACCCCGCTACTTTCCCTCTTAGAGATACGTTGCATAGCCAATGGATACGCGCCGTACTTGAAGATCATCATGTCAGAGCTATCAGAGAGCTTTTGCTTTCCAATCAGTTTAGTCGCACGGTACTACAAAGTACAAGTGTTTCATATCTCAAGAATTAATCATTCAAATCCCAGAGCATTAGTCTTATTGGGTATAGCTTGTTTTCGCGTGCTGCTTTGATAGTGCAATTATGCTCGTAAGCGCTAGGACAGGACAGGCCCGAGTTTATTTCTGTCAGTACGTATGTATTGCTACATCGTAATCTATTTTTATCTTGTTTTATCTTATTTTAATTTGATCTCATTAGGTTTCCTTTTGACTGGGGGCGGATCGGCATCGCATGGCTGCGAGTAACTTTTCTCTGCGACTGTTCGTTGGAGAACATAGTATTCGCCCCATTTGCGATTCAACTTTCATTTCAACGTTGTCTCCGATTAATGAAAGGGTTCTCTAAACGCCCAAGAATGTAAATGTGATTGTTAGGGTTTCAAGTCTCAAGAAAAGGTCGATTTAAAATTACACAATCCCTGGGACCACGACCATTTTGAATCTGAAGAAAAAAACCTCACTATTAAACCGATTGCTCGCCGACCTCGGGAGCATTGAATCGTGTCATTGGTTGTCCCTTAAGACTGTCAAGAGAATCATCATGTTTCAGCGAAGCGCCACTAGTTCTCACAAGTACGAACAGAAGCGGCAGGAATTAAAATAGACAGCGGTGATCCTGGGCCCAAGCGAGTGGTGACATCCAGAAAGAAGGGATTTTGGGCTCAGCGCATGAAGTTGATAATTTGCAGGAGCCAACTATCACTGGGCGGTGTGACGAATTGGCACTTATACAACCTGATCTCCTTCTGCCTTAAGACTCACCTAATCTTCTTCATTATTCATCTACTCTGCCATCGACACATTCATCTGAAATGGCCAATACTGAAGCTTCCCCTGAAAACACGACAGATTTTGGTGACTTTGTGAAGGATGAAGAAGAGGAACTTGATCTCGAAGAGCTTGTTGAGCCATGGTATAGGTACGACACAGAGGATAACCAACATTTCCTCTATCCTATTCACCTTGGAGAAGTGCTCAACGACAGGTACCTGGTTGAACATAAACTTGGCTTTGGTGGTGGCTCAACCGTCTGGATGGCATTTGACCTACAAGACAAGAGAAACGTGGCCCTTAAAGTCATGGCCCTAGGGCAATGGGGCGACAATGAAACTCGAATCCAGGATGAGATCATCAAAACAGTACAGGATACTTCTCGCCTGGTTATATATACTGCGACTTTCTTTCTACCCCGAGACGATAAAAGTTGCCATAGGGTCTTGGTGTTCCCTGTGAAAGGGCCATCCATCTGTACTCTTACCTTGCAAAAGATTCCCATGGCCTCTCGCATGTTTGCTGCTCGGCAATTACTAGGGACTGTGGCAAGCTTACACCAAGCTGGAATCATACATCGCGGTGAGTCGACATTCTCTTGTTTGATTTTCTTTTATACTGAGAAAAATGTTATAGATTTGAATGCAAGGAACTGTATGTGGGGAATAGCTCCTTTCGATGATCTTAGCAGAAGCGCTAAGTATGAATTACTCGGTCGGCCTTTGAAGCAAACAATACCATTTGTCGATCTGTGGAAAAAGGGCGAGCTTGTGAGCCCTATCAAATTTCCCGAAGACCGTCGCACAGATGAATTCTATCTCTGTGATTTTGGTTTAGCAAAGAAAGTAGGCGATCTCACTAGCCAACGTGGCTACCCACCTATGCATTATTGCTCTCCAGATCGACTTCATAAGCAAGAGCCAAGTTTTGCTTGCGACATGTGGAGCTATATGGCTGTTTTCTCTATGCTCTACCTTGAATTTCCTCCGTTTCCCACATTTATCGAAGGTGGAGTTGTGAGTGGTATGGTTGAATGCTTAGGCCCACTACCTAAGCAGTGGAAAGGTCTCTACAAATACTCCGACGGCCTTGACTCATGGTATGATCAGTCTCAGTCTCCTGATCTAGAGCATGACCTTGCTGCGAAAATTGCTTATTTCCGTCCCGATTCTGATCCGGTCGAGCGGCAGCATGTGCTTTCGGTCATGTCGAAAGTATTTATCTACGACCCAGAAAAGCGGCTGACCGCAGTAGAACTTTTGCGAGATCCTTCATTCAGAGCCATCATGGACCGGTACAAGTGCTGAGACTCGAGCACTCGAAGAGCATTTGCATTTTCTAGCCACGGAGCGCAAGAAATAATCTGCCTGGATTGAAATAGCTTGAGTCAAGAGCGGGACGTGATGAGCAAACAGGTGTCAAGCTAAAAACCCTCGTACTGCTGTCCCGTTAGCTGCCACCGAAGTCAAGCCGGGATCCCTCGCGAGTCCTGCGATGCAATCGGGGCCACCTTTGTCTCAGCTATCTAAACACTGTCGCTCCAAGAATACCTGAGTATCTATGGTCTCGTTTATGATAACGATAATCAGCACGTGGGCTATCTCATATTTGTTTCCACGGACAATGCCGCCAAGACTAAGCGTGCCGAGCGCAAGGGTAATAGCGCGAATCACTACTCGATACATGAAAAGACCAGGGGAAAAAGCATCAAAGTACAACATAATACTATTATCTGAGGCGCCTCGGTCCAATCTTTAGTACGACTGTTTTACCCAGTGCCGTTACCGTTCTGGCTCCTCTCAATCTCTTCTCTTCCTGGGTTCTCCCTTCAACGGTAGACATGCGCTGTAGTAATTTGCTGTGTTTATCTAAAAGGAGTAATCTTTTGTTCAATCACATCCCGACCCACCATATAAGTTTTGGCTACTTTTATGTATACATGAGCTTGATCAAGTTTTATACAATCCAACCTCCGAAGACGTCGGATAAGACGATCTTATCATAGAAACTCCCGCGGGGTCTTATTGGCTGATAAGCACCTTTCTCGCTGGCTGTTGCCTCGTTTAAGATAAGCATAAAGCATGCCACTCCCAAGTCCACATATAAATGTCTGGTGAGCCCGACGAAGTAACACAAACCGATTTTAAATTCATTATCCAGACACAGAACATAATGCATCTTGCTATTCCTCCCACTCCTATTCGCAATCCCGAAAAGGGCTTCAAGACACACCCTAAGAAGACACGAACTGAGTCTATCTCAGCAATTGAGACCGAATCTGCACAACCCTCTTCCGATGGCTCGTCAGAAAAGTCCCTTCGGTCCATTATCAAAGGTGAGTTATGTATGACTTATTTTTCTACCTTCGCTTACAGTATTATAGCCTTTGTTTCTCGCACCAGAATGTGAAGACGGCGGTATCTGGCAGACCAAACATGGTCTTTGATTGATTTACTTTCTTTTGTTATATATCTGGCCTCTCATATACCTTATTCCCCTCTCGCTCTTGTGGACTTCTCATTGGTGTGTGTTTTACAAGTAATTACTATACTCCTATCATACTCGTTGAGCCTTTTTATCACAATTCAGTGCATGACCTACTCCTACTTACCAAAGACCGGGTATGTGTCAAATGCCATCAACTGCACTTGATTCTCACAGCTCCTCAATATTGTCGAGGTCAATATACCAGCTCAACTTGAGGAATCACTATCCGATGAGGATGAGGAAACCCATTCGCCAGGGTCAGACTCCCCTTCATCGCCCCAGTCCCAGGCGGCGCCAGCAAGAATGGTCCTAATCCCAGTAATACAGTTCATAGTCATCGTATCGGAAGTTGGATGCTTGTGGCACAGAATTTTGAATACTTTGAGGCTTGGGGTTTGTTTTGCAATCTCAGTACCCGTCGCAATCATCTCACTGTATAGGCTCAAGGCTCTCCTTGGCTCATTACAGTGATGACTAAATCCTGCGGAGAATCGATCGACATCTTGGAGACTGAGATTGATGATAATACTCTCAATCTGCAACGGCATAGCACTGTCGCCCTGCCGAAATTCAAAAATCTGTGGACAAATTCTACACATGCGTAAGCGCACAGACCTCAGTGAAGGGATCTGAAGCGCCAGCTGAGGACGAATATGTATGGCGCTGTTCATTTCTGATCCGTAGGTACCAGGCCGCTCAAGAATTGAGTTGGGTCCCATGATGAAATATATTGCTGGCGAGGAATCAGCGGATTGATTGGGTCGAAGTGGCTGCGGACACGTAAAGTGAAAGATGTTAAATGATTGCTCCGTTTAGCCAATGAAGTGAGTATTTCATTGAATTTCGCGAGATCCTGCTCAGCGGGCCAGTCCTTGGGGCTATGCGCATCAATGGTGAGCTGTCGCAAAAACGCCCTCAGGTTTGAATACACGTTTTCGGGGGCATGTACCAACTGAGTCGCACTCAGCTTCAGGTCCTCTAGCAGGAGCAGCTTTGCAATCTGATACCACAACTTGCAGACCAACAAACAGCAAACTTCCTGTTTGCGAAGCTGATCGCTACCTATAAATCGAATGATGATACATAGTATCTCGGATGGTAGGGTTTGCAGTGTCATTGGAGGAATGTGTGGAGAAGCAGAGTAACCGCGAGTTTCAAGAGATACCAAGACAAACGCACAAACTGCACAAATGCTGGGTGGCCGGCAAGGCGGTCACCCAGTGGGTCCAGATCCTACTAGTTAGCAGATCTTAGATCTTAGATCTTTGAATCTTTAAATGTTTAATCTTTGGACTGTCCAATATTTCATTAGTCTTCAGTTTTAAGGGAGATCGCTTATTATCTTGGCCGTAATCTTGTTTCCACAGTATGCAGAGGATGTACATCCAGAGCCTGCATATACAGATGCAACAGAATCCGACAGGTAGCTAGTTCCGTCCCTCCTCTTCTTTCCTCTCCTGTCCGTCCATCATCATTCTACCAGAATCTCTCTTGTCTTTCTCATACGAGTTCATCCAATAAGTAGATCTCTATTAGCAAATCATCCGTCGATTTCTAAAAGGCAAACAAGAAATTTGCTCAATATGTTAGCAGACTTGAAACTTTTTACTCTCACAATCATCCCTTACAGTGGGTCCTTCTTTGCACATGTAACTCTTGACAGCACCTATTCTTACTCGGGAACCGTTGGCAGACTTGAAGTGAAGTGAGATTAAAAGAATGCAAATAACATATCTCAACTCGTAATTCTGTTCGCACAGTATAACTTGTCCACTCCTCAATCTTGTTGTACCCGTTACGGGTGTATATTTTCCTGCCTTCCTCGTTTATCTAGGCAGTTGCAATTGCTTTCCAACTCGAGAAGTGAGAAAGCGGAGCTCAAATATGCTCACTTCCTACTTTAGCCGAGCGTCCAGCTGATTTAGATAATCCTGAATGGTGACTTTCTCTGGATCGGTGGTCATAAAAGCATGAGCGATATACTCATCCGCTATCAAACTCGTCAGCTCCACCCACTTTCGTGATGCGGAATAAATTGACATACCGTGGGTTTTCAACTCATTCCAAGCATCAACAATCGTTTTCAGCTCCCTGTCTACAAGTAGCATGGGCGGAATCTCCTGCTTGTCACTTTCAAATAAGTCGTAGACTGTAGTAAGGTCGGCGGCCATCAGAGCCCAAGCGCCCTGAAGCAGCTCGAGCGTTTCGACAGCAGGTCCAATCACATTGATGATATCTGTGACTTGGGCCTTGGAGGCAGGTAAGTCACTGGTGCAAAACAACTCAGTTGGCAAAAGGCTGTACTTACTCCCATGGATTGTATATCGCCTTGTAGCCGAACAGCAATCTGTAGCTTTTCTACATTTGCATCGATCGTCTCTTGAATCTTTTTCATGCTCGCCTCCAGCCGTTTGATGTCACTTTCGGCGAGAATATCAACTGTGACACCAGCAATGGTGCCAATGAACGGTCTGTTTTTGATGACTTTAATATCTAACCTCTGGTTTGTAGGGTACCCATAAACTTACATCCAGACGTAGTAGGCAGTATCTTTGATCTTATCGTGGTCTGCGAGTATGTGAAGGAGTTAGTAGTGCATTCTAGCGAGGTAAAGGCTAGCTCTTCACCTCTGTCAATAGCCACTTGTAGGTCCTGGATATTCTTCCTTTCCTCCGCAATAACAGCCGTCAAATGCTCTATATCATTACCCTCCTCCTCAAGAAGCGATTTTAGGCTCTTTTCATCGCCCTCGAGAGTAGACTCGTACGCCTTACAGTCATCATGAAACTGTTTCAAGGCACTCAGGGTCTCTGCGATTTTGTCCTGGATAGATGAAATCTTCTTCTCCTCGCCGTTGATAGCACCTTTGATACTCGATTCCAAATCATCAAGAGTCTTTTGATCGGGGGATGCCTTTTCCATTTCGTCGTTATACTGTCCAATCCATTCTAACATGCCTCGATAATATGAGCTGTCGCTTGTTCCCCCTGCTAATGTGGCATATGTTTTGATCGTACCCGAGAGGTCCACAAGGCCATTCCAGGTAACTTCCTGGAAGGTGGTACAACTGCTCGACACCTAATATGCGAGTGGGAGATTAGCTTGTATATTCTGTCCAGCCAGCTAGTTACATTGTGCACGAGCTTTGACTTCCATACATACCTCGGTATAGGTTCCGAGTAGGTTGTCCACCTCTTTCCAAACCTTGTCACTCATCTCGTTGGTGTCAGTGAGACCCAAGACTCTGATGTAGGTCTCGCGGTCGGTTGGGAGCAACTTTCCAGTCCATAGGAATCTACTGAGAGCTACCATATTTTCATCATCCAAGAGGAATGTCTTGTCGTCATCCTGCTCGGCGCTGAAAGCAGTAATCTTCTTCGTTTTGTTGTCAAGAAATAGGCCCTTTGGATACCAGACACTCGGGTCATTGATGGGCTTTGAGGGATCGAAGCTGGTCATGATTGTCAGGATAAAGGCTCAATGTGCGTTGATAAATCCTATATTGAGGAAAGGTGAAGAAATGCTATCTCAAACAGTGTCGACGACTCTGAAATAGAAGGAGACGAAATAATAGCTTACATGGCTTTCCTTTATACCCTGGTTTCTGGATGGCTACGTTCGGTCATTTTCTCAAATGGCGGTCTATCTCCTCTACAGTCGTAGATACCAACACGTGCTTCTCTCTGCCTGCTGTCCTTCTTTCTGGATGATGAGCTCATAGGTTCGGAGAACACGGTCATATGATAAGGAGTAAATAATGAAACTGCATGTACTATATGAACTCAGCTTCGGGTATCTATACAGACAATGCGGGCCGAGCCCTTGCATTGCGCTATTGTTAATACTTACATCTTCTAAAAGCAGGATATGTGTATGTTGATCATTGGGGGGAAAGAGGGGGGTAGTATCAAGGTCGTGAAACCTGCATCGGGAACTCCGACAATGCATGCAGGGATCGACAGTGGATTTCGCGTAATGACTCGACGACCTCGCCAGGTATCCATCTGATATAGATCTAGCACTTTGGATCAACTCATGGCTAATTATCGATGACGAATTTCTTCCAAGAGGCGGAGTTTGGGGTAATTTTGATTTCCGATATGTGCAGACGGAGCTTTAACCAATTTACAGAAGATCGGTTCATAAGCATCAGATTCGTAGAGCCACAAGTCATACCGAGCTACGAATAAACATCCTTGTTCAATCCAATTTAGTCCTACAAACCAATACTTCTTAATCCGAACCTCTACTTTATGTTGACTTTTAAAGTCTTTGTGGCCCAACAATAAACCAAATCACACAGTATTTATTGATTTCAAGTATTATCTCATTAAAATTGAATTATTATAGCTCAGAACAGAGTATGTAGTAATAGGTAGTTTCGATTCATCGCGCATATCTAGGCATCGGCAGCAAGCAATGTGTCACAAGTTCTGATATCCTTGTAAGGCCCGCATGTGAGTTGGGACTAGCCCAATGAACGAATACGGGAATGCAGCTTGCAAAAGCAATTTTCAGGCTCCTCTGCTAGCCATGCTGTACTCCGTACGACTCTCCACGATGCATGCATCTTCTTGGGGCGATAGTAAAAGCCTTGGCATTCTGCCTATCAGGCTGGAGTGTCATTATCGAATCCGTGACGTTGAGCGATTTACTGGTCCTATGTTTGCGACTGCGGATTGATTACGCCTCTTCACACCTAGGACATCAGGTGTTCCATTTGCCTACTAGCCAAAATGATTCGTGCTCCATGGAGAAATAACCCGACCGTCCTTCCTTCCTATAAAACCCTGCCTGCTGTTTGCTATTCTTGTCAAATTCAATATCAGTTCTAATTCACTTCCTCGGAGAAGTTGTCAATATGACCAATATCGCACCCCAACCGAGCAATCCAAGCCAATGGCAAGAGTGGTATGCCACGCTGGACGATGTGCTCGATATTCCCCTGCAAGCAGCAGACTATGTGAACGAAAGTTCGGTAATAAATCTAGCGCACCCTCCAGGTATTAACCTATTTGCGCTATCAACTGATTCCAGTGACAGAAACTTGCCACCCACCGAGGCATTCTCCTTGATGCACCCACTGTCCTCGATTTTTCGATGCACAACCTGTACATCTATGCTGATGTTCTTGTCTTCCCGGCGAGCGAAATCACAATTTCTCCTGCTGCAAGCGGTATTGTGCAGATCCTAGCCCGAGTTCTCACTGCTGCGGCTCCAATCACTCTATTGATTCCCCCTGGTGATGCGGCCACATGTGCAATCTCGATCTATGCGCCAGTTTTAGACCAGCCGATATCAGTCCGCACGGGTGATTCTAAGCCGATAACTCTGGAACTCGGCCCAACGACAGCCAACGTTGGTGTTATCCTAACCTTTTCTGGCGGAGAGGTGACGGCCGACTACCAGAAAAGATACCCTACAGATAATCACCCCGAACTGCAGGCCAGTCTAGAGACTGAATTGCGCAATGCTCTATCTGGGTTTTGGAAAAATAGTTCGGTTGGCATTTCAATCTGCGCCTATGTTGCAGCTATCACTCACAATCAGAAGGCCTATTCAATGCTGAATACTCAGGCCGCGGCGTTGGGTCAGCAACTCGCAGGGCGAGCAATTGCTGGTCCAAATATGAGCTACGCACCTACATTGCCTCTTGACACATACGAGAAGACTGCAAAGTTAGCATTAGCTGCCGCATCTGAATTTGACGAAGAATACCGAAACTTCCAGGACAAGGCGGAGTCGCTGGAAATTCAGATCCAGGCGTGGAAGGTTATGCTATCTCAAGCCATTGCCAATCAAACCATGCGGATCAACTTGCGTGACTCGGCATTTGACAAATATCAGTCAGCTGCCAAGTCTGCAGCCTCTTGTGAGACGCAGTTCCGGTATGAGAATGATGCCGTGAAGAGCGCCGAGATACAATTTCAACTTGGAATTGCGGAATGGGAGTTCAATCAGGAGCTTAAAGCTGTATTTGAGATATTCAAGGCTGTTATCAGTAAGTCGGTCACCTTCTGCTTATTCTATCTATCAGTTTAGTCATGCGATTATCCAGGCTTACATGATATAGCTTTTGCAGTCAATATCGGCGAGCTGTGTATCGGAGACCCTGCTGCAGCTGGCGGAGCAGAGAAAGCCGTGGATGGCGCCGTTGAGGCTGTTGAGGAAGCAGAAAAGATTACCGGCCAGATCGAAAAGATCATATCATCGATAACATTGGAGAATCTGGGAAAAGCTGCAAAGGCTCTATACAAATTGTATCCGTCGGTGGTCCAGGTTGTGGATGCGGTAAAGGCTCTCGAGTCCAATTCCGACACCGAGATCCCTTCCATGGGGGATATATCTGGCACGACAGAGGGTGACGCTGATTCTGCTGCTATTGTGACACTAGCGGCATGGGATGTATGGATTCTCGAATCAGATCACCAGATGGAGTTTGCGGTGAAGAATGAGATTGGGGGTGCCAGTGAGTATCAGCTTGCATTGCGGAAGCATGCGATCAATGGAAAGCAACTGGCCCAGACCCAGGCTGAAGCTATCAAGGCTGGGTATGAATATGTCCAGGCTCAAATGGAAGTCATTGTCTGCGCAAAGCAGGTCAATGATCTTCAGGGCTTGATAGATGAGTATACGGGGCAGGAGGATATCTACCTACAAGCTAAAGTTCAGTTATATGATCGGCTAATGGCACTTCGAACGGGTGTTGTGATTGAACTGCAGAACATGGTTTGGGCATATCGATACTGGGCGCTCGCAGAGAGTACTCTAGTCCTCGATATCATGAAGTCAGTCGACGAGTACAACAGCGATCTGTACACCATTGCACTTGCCATGGAGACAATCGACGGACAATACGGCAGTGATTACCAAGGTAATTAGCTTATCCACCCCTCTCTAGGGCTAACTGACCGTTCTGTTCGGGTAGACTTTGGGTACGATCACAAGTCCGAATACGTATGTACTCTTGATCCTTGTGAGGGTTGCCACCACTGACTGGCACGACGGTAGCTTCCCTTGGACTTTGGCTCTTTGCTGCTCGAGGGCCTCACTAGTGAAAGGCACACCGGTAGCTTTACCCTCGCACCGGAAGAAGCCTTAGCCGGTCAATTCGTTGAGGGCTCCCACTACCGACTGAGTAGCTTAGACCTGACTCTCATCGGAGCACGCCCCAAAAGCGAATTTCTGGAAGACGGTGTAGTGAAGGTTTCTTTGGAGATCACCACATCGGGAATATACAGCGATATCAACAAGGATCAGGTCTTTCACTTTGCCAGCGTCCCCTCACTCGTTCGTTGTTCTTATCAGCTGAATGAAGAGGGCGACAGAGGGTTGACATTGGAATATCCTGTTTTCAAAACCGAAAACCATGCCGAGCCCACACCTTTTACACAGTGGCAGATAAAGCTATTGCATCCTGAGAGGGTTGATTTGAGTGGATTGACAGGGATTAATTTGAATTGGAAAGGCCACGTTCGTTTTGATCCGACGAGACGATCTAAAGAAATATCGATGGAGGCTTGAGATAGTAGCAAGATAGTGGATAGTTACCTGGAATTTGTATGTAAGCCAGTAACAAAATTAAGTCACTTTTTTCATATCAACTGCTTTATCGTCAAGGGGCTAAATTCTGTAGGAATTAGGTAGAATATACGATTTTTTCTGATCAAAATGAATGTTTTTTTTTGACTATGTAGACCAGAAGTGGGCAGAATATATGGCAGAAATTATGGCACCCAATCTGGAAGGCGGTACTAAATTTTCGGGGGGACAACCCGAGAAAATTGCCTGCGCTATGAACTAGACAGACGAGACAATCATCTGCGACTTGAGCTACGAAACTCTTTGTTCTCTCTCAACCATATGCCTCTGCAATCTTTAATAGTCAGTCTATGATGTATTTGAAAATTTTGTATTGACGATTGCACAGAACAAAAATTTGAAGCTATAGGGGATTAAGGCAACTTAGGCATAATTGGTTAGGCAAAGGAAACAAGACTACATCTGTCAATCTGACCCATAAACTCCATACCTCAGCCACTGATATGATTCCTTGAACTTTTGGACTGCATGTGAGAAATCAGGTCAGCATCCGTGAACAATGACAGACAGAAGGATTTCGTCATACCTTCTACTGCCAGATCACTCCACATCTCCAGTAGTTCGTTTTCTTTTAGGTTGAGAAGAGGCCCAGGCCCCGGCTCGGTGTTCTCGGTGATGTACTCAGTCAGTGCAGTGAGATCATTGAATATATTGTATGCCGCACCTAACGCATACTTGTCAATCTCAAACCCAGCAACTCGACAGGGGATGAGCCTACCGACAGCGAGCTGCAGGTTTGCCAACGAGGCACTTGAGTCATTTTGCATGTTCTGGTTTGCGATGATTCCCTATTGAATCTCACTGTTAGAAACAGCGCAAAACTGAAGGAGCGGTTATATGCATGTGGATTTATCGAACTTGCATTCAGGATATCCAGTGCTCTGCAGTCACTTTCGAAACCCTCCTGTCCATTTATGTCACCTTCGTGACACTTGCGGAGTCGGTCGATAGTGTCTTGTCGCCCTAGTTCCTCACCGACTTGTTTGACCAGCTTTTGTCCCTCGGTTACGTTTCCGATAGCTGCCACAAGGTTGTCGGTTGTGCTCGTGCACTGTTTAGACAGGCCATTTACTTTGTCCAATCGGTCTTTGATCTTTGCCTGAACCTCTGCACGCAGACTCTCGTTGTCTGATTCATCGTCGTAAAGCCTTCCGAGGTCATTGAATATCTCATCTGTTTTGAACAAAGCAAAAAGACTCAGCTTAAGAAAAAACCAAGGAATCAAAAATCCGGGCTATTCCTACCATAATCCTCTTTTGCTGTAGCCGAAAGTTTGAGAATGTAGTCACAGATATCCCCCACAGAACGATATCCGCCCTAAAGCAAACGATTAGATTGATTGGCATTGTCAATTATCTTTTCCATACCTCAAGATTCATAGACTGGCTGGTAATCTATCGACGTGTCAGTAGGTGGGTGTGAGAAAAGGTCAGGGATAGGCCTGTACTGTGTAAAAGTGTTCCATGACCGGAATTAGCAGGTCTACATACAGCTATAGGTATCTCTAGATTAGTTGGGATCAAAGGGATTAGTTTGGTAGTCCTTATTTTACCTCTTGCCTTCCCTGCTCTGTGAATGGCACTCTATAGTCAAGCCCAGAATCATTATAGGGTAAATTCTGTGTTGCCTGGGTTGCCTGTTGGAGCTTGAAGAAACTCGGGCCGTCACAGCAGAAGGTTTTGCTGTTGGTGAGTAGATCCCTTGGGCTGAGGAAGGATTCATCGAACGACATCTCTGTTTTTCAAAAGTAGTTGCTGGATTGAACATTCGAAAAGATAGAAGACGAACGACTCATTTATATATATCTTCAACGACAGAAAATACAAGGTTCATTTGTTGGACTATGCACATATCTTCGAGGAACAATGAGTAACGCATGATAAATGCACCGCGATATGATTTTATTATGCATGTAAGTCTGCCCAAGATGCAACTTTCTCCTCAATACGGTAATCTGCATGCATACGTGAACCCCTCTGCGTCTGCGTTGATGATCGTGTAACTGTACGGACCGTCGTACGGATTTGAAATGACCTATGACAGCATAGGTGAGTGTTCAAGTCTACAAAAAGGACCATTTTATCAACCATGAGCTCTATGTCGGTAGCCAACAGCGTCTATAGTCGGAAAATATCAAGGTTGTTAAGTGGTCAAGCCAGCGTAAAAACGCCGTTTTCCACTTAATAACAGCTCTGCTTTGCCCATATTCAGAATTCTTAGAATTTAATATCGTATCTCTCGTTGCCTAGTGTTTCTAGTTTTACTTGGTCCACGAAGCCAGAGTTGAAGGCCAGTGTAATGCTCTTCTCTCCTTGTCGCTGTTTGATGCTTCAAATGAATCCATTCTACGTCTGGAATCGACTACTTCTGGGGCTTTTAGGATATTAAAAGTATATCAACACACAATTAATTATTCGATATAGTTTTACTGTCCATAATGGATGACCGCAGCTGCGGATCGGGCTATTTAAGGCCCGAGAATGGTACTCCATACGTAGAGTGACTTGGCTACGATGCACATGCGTTGTTCTCTTTGATCTCCTGTATTTCCCTCAAATTCCCTACTCTTTGTCATTCTCCTAGCCCCTATTTGCAAAACTCAGACTAGATTGAAAAATTCTCTATTGAAATGGGTTCTATCGAAAAACACTGGATATCGTTTCAAGACATGAACCCTGAGAGCAACCACAAAGAAGATAAAAAAAGTCCTCGAAACAGCTAATTTCACCCATCTCTGCTCTGAGGCTTCAAAGATCCGCCAACGAGAAGAGTCCCTAGATTCGCTGATATTCGCCGCTCAACTAGCCCGCTATGTCTATGAACTTAGCACTCTCCGATTTAGCAAGATCGGCTGCCGCTCGTACCCCGACGGGTCCGACGAGCTTGAACCATCATCATTCCAAATCTCAGATTCTTGGGTTGGACTCCGTCGACCTCATTGAAATACTTTTATCTATTCCGAAAAGGCCAGACAAGGGAAATCCACGAAAAACACAAAGGCGAAGCAAACTGGGAAGCAGCCGTTTGGTTCCTCGAAAAGTCGTTGACATCGATGGTAACGGAGGAGCATGTATATGGCCCATTTCCATTGTGTCATTTGGACCTTCACTTCAATAATATGCTCGTTGATGAAGATTTCAACATCACTGCTATCCTTGACTGGAGCAATATCCAGACTGTGCCGATGGAGCGTTTTGCCTCAAACCCGGAATCCATTGCTCCTCCTGCCGCGCCACAGGAGTTTAAGCAGGCGGTCTTTGACTTCCGCGATATTTTTGTTGATGCGTTAGCAAAAATTGAAGGGGAGAGCGGTGCCTCATCGTCTGATGGAGGAATTCCATTATCACGGCTGTTTGCATCCCCCTTGTCTGAGGTGCTTTTTCGATGTACTTGTAGCCCTGCACGGAGAGCTATCTTCGACGCTCAGCTCACTCTCTCTCTAACTTATGGTAAAGATGCTAAGTGGGAGGATTTCAAGAGATTCTTCAATGACCGTTTGGCGTGACTCGCCAGTTGAGGAAGGTGCATTGCGAATAGGAATATTATTTCTCGCCAACATAATAAAAAATAGAGGCCTACTAAAGCCACAAGTACTACAGCAATAGATTAGAAACTGTCAAGAACAACTGGTATTGATGGCTGTTGAAGCTGAATGCAAACTATTGACATTGTATGTCGAGAAATCACAATACCAGAGAGAATGCAATAATACATGACAGTAAGATTCTTAAAGAAGGGTAGGGGGATTCATATCCGGTGAGAGGGTAGTTTGTTTCACCCGCTCAAGAGCCGGGACTATGACATCGCCCTTGGCAGAGTTAGTGATCTGGTCCTTGACGGCCGAAGGATTAGGCGATGTGCCTGGTGTGCGTTCGCCCTTGCCATGGCGCTGGATGAGACCGTTGGTGATGCCGAGCACAGAGTCGACAATGACGGCGTCGATTCCTTCAGAGACTTGGTACTGTAGGGATTATGTGGTAAGACGGTTGTTTGAGATTTCTAGGGATGTGAAAAGACCATAACTTACGTCGACGTTCTTGCCCTCATTGTTGAGTGTTCCGTAAGAGACACACACAAGACCGGACTCTTTGACAATTCGGACTAGTCGTGGGCAGAGGACCAGTGGTTCAGCCTGGGTGACGATTCCAAGGAGATTCCACCGTGAGGCGAACCGAATAGCCTCCTGCAAGCTGCTGGCACGGATGTCACCGACCGGGGAGGCGCCTGCGTCAGTCAAGAAAAGAACGGGGATGGAAGGCTGCTTGAAAGAGAGCAGCAGACAGATGTCCGGGTTGAAGCTGGAGAACAGTATGTCGCGGCCGCCTCCTAGGTCATACACCTTGGTCAAGATGGTGTCGACGAAGGAGTTCAGTTCCACTGCGTATGTGTCCATTTCTTCCTCCTCGCTCTCGTGGAGCATGGGGTATTCTGACGACCTTGGTTAGATCGACGGAATAGCTGTTCTTGGGAAGCTTTAGTAACTCACTTAGTTCAATATTAAATCCGACAGGTTTCGGGATCTTCCTGAATAATTCCTCCAGTGTGGCGAATGGTGCCTGAATGTGCTCGCCGCGGGTGTTGCCCTTGAATCCCTTCTTCTTGAAGTCGCGTGTGTGCTTGATCTTTTCGGTCAATTCGGCCGGGTTGTACTCGGAGCCACCGACCGACATTGAGCGCTGGCGCGGGCCAAGCTCAGATTCCTCGCCGTTAGTTTTGACAGATCCCGGCAATGAATGACGGTAACGTCCGATGCCTAACTCGAGGAATTGATCAAGTGTCATGGTATGAACAGGCGCATCTATACCTGTCTCGCTGACCAGGAAGTCGTGGTAGATGACAGGCACATGGTCTTTCGTGAGCTGTACATCGAACTCGACATATGAGGCGCCCAGGTTGGCTGCAGCGATGAACGACTCCACAGTATTCTCGCCCAACTGTAACGAATTGCGGCCAGCCATATTCTTACCTAGTCCACGGTGTCCAATGACCATGGTGGAGCTCATCGAGCGCCAGTAGGTCTGGTTGCCCGCGATAGACATTTTCGGGTGCTTGAAGGGCGTGATGATAAGGAAGTTGAACGTCACAGACCCGATCACCTCAAGGGTATTCGCGGCAACAATGGGAACAGTGGAATCACCTTTGAGGTTGATTCGGTGCGACCCGACAGTGGGCTTGATGCTAGAAAGCAGAGCGACACCCCGGCCAACAATCTTATCCTTCGATCCTGCGTAGGTGGGGATGAGGTCGAAAAGCAGACGCACCTTGCTAGGATCGGTAGTGTGGAAGACAATTGGCTCGGTTGAGATATTGTCCTGCACAGGCAAGTCAATCACCTCCGGCTCACCATGTGCACCGCTAGCTGTTATCACCATCGACAAAGACGTATCTAGCTGGGTGGCATGTGCATTCTCCATCGGAATGCGGTCGAGGCTGACTGTCTCAAGCGGCTTGCGCATGTCCATAGTTCCCAGACTGACCAAGATCATGCTCTCATCGGTGAGATACCTGTGTCCAAAAGTCTTGATAGGTTCAGTGGACCGTACGCCAGGACCTCCAGAAGTTGGGCCAGGCGCATTTGACCGGCGATCAGTGAGGGACGACTGAGTCGGGGGCGAGGAGGAATCGGAACCAGTGAGGTTTGGAGTAGACGATGAAAAATCAGGCTCAGTGGCAGGAGGGCCAGGGCTAACTTCTGCCAAGCATCGGGCGATGTCAAGATGGCCTCTGAGGGCCGCGTGCTCCTTAGCCGTCCAGCCAGAGGAGTCGAAACGCTCCACATCTGCACCAGCGGAAACCAGCATTTTGGCCACACTCAGAGATCCGTCCACACAGGCAATGAAGAGCGGAGTCCAACTATATGTGTTTTCAGCTAGTTCTGTGTCTGCCTTCTGGTCGTCGCTACCATCCAGCAGAATTTGGGCGCACTCGTCACGGCCAAATCGGGCGGCAACGTGCAATGCAGTTTCTCCCTGTTCATCCTGGTAATTGATATCGACACCAGCATCCACCAGAAGCTGGACAATGTCAATGAAGTTGGCCTTGGTCGCTAATACCAATACTGCACTAGACTTCGAGACCTGTTTTCTTATGATGCTCCGCCCCTGCGAGGGACCATGCTGTTTTTCGGCATCCAAGAGACACCGGGTGGTTTTGGGGTGGCCACCCACAACACTCAAATGAAGCGGGGCCCAGCCGTCATTGTCCTGCCAGAGAGGACCGTCGATCCCATCGCTGACATCGAACATGTCCCATTCTTTGAGATGCTCAATGATCACTTCACAAACGACCTTGAAACCATACTGTGCCGCATAGTGCAATGGAGTGCGTCCAGCAAGGTCTTTGGCCATCAAAGACTCACGCTGATCAGGGCGCAGCGAGTCTAAGAGAAATTGGAAGTGAATAACAGCAGAATCCTCGCGACCCAGCTGCTGGGGCATGTGCTCCTCTTTGACCACGGGGCGCGGCGGTTGGAGGGTCGGAGGTGCCGCGGGTGTGATATAGCGGGTAGTCTCCGGAGGGAAGTTGAGCACCATTGACGCCGCGGGCTCGGCGTCAGTCGTAGGCTGGTCACGACCAATGGAAATGACCAGACGGTGAAGGCAGTTACGTCTGTTGATGTCATCGTCCTCTTCTAGGGTGTCCACCCGGTTCAGGAGAAGATTCAGGACAGCACGAGAACGATGAAGGATAGAGCGCTGGATCAGGGTTCTGAGAACCCTAGGATAAACCGTGTCTCCCGCTTCATCTGCAGTGGCCTTCAAAGTCTCGAGTAGTTCAAGGAAGACATGAGTGTCATCCTTGCGCAGGGCATCATCCACAGCAGTGAGAATGCTCGTAGGCAGATTAAGATAAGGCCTAGTTGGGCCACGCTTCAATGAAAGGGAAGAATGGGTGGAGCTCGTGTCATCGGATGCCTTGTCGTCCGCCTTGGACTGGTCCGTAATGATGGCCATCCAAGCATTGATGCGATCCTGAGACTGGAAGACGCGCTCATTGGAGGCGAACGGGGCGGGATCGACCTTCGTCTCCAGATAGCGCTTCTGGGCCTGCGCACCAACCTTCTTGTCCAACTTCTTGGTGATCTTGACGAAGCCACGTCGATTGACTTCACCATACCATTGTAAGCGGCGCAAGTGGTATCGCAGGTCCAGCAGGGCCTCGCGCAGGTCATGCCGATCCTCGGGCTCGAGAGCATGGCGACCATCCATTGAGTAGCCATAGCGCTCCTCGAGCAACTTCAGACGGCGGGCGAAGTCGGAATATTTCTTGTTGTAGAAATGATCGACATCTTCAACATTTCGGTCGAGGTTGTAGAAGAAACCTATAGGCAGCAACACAAACGGCCTGGTCAGAACAGCGCTCAAATGTTCAAGATAATAAATTCAAGGAAATGAAGCATTAAACTTACCAGCCAAATCCGGCTCCTGTCCCGATTTGATCTGCTCAGCAGCAGACTTGATCAGCTTCTTCAGGGCCTTGTACTTGATGTAAGAGCCGCTCCACTCGGGAACCGTGAACTGCGGCAAATTGCGGCCGAATTTCATACTGGCGAGACTAAAAAGTCCACTAGAAATTCAGTTCAGAACCACACTCCTTTCAAATCCACGCTTTATCTGCAATTTCGAGTTGTGTTTGGGCTTTCCAATCGAAGAAAATTCGGAGTAAGTTCAACCTGAATATCACGAGGAAGCGATCAGGTGAGCGGGCGAACGCAGGCAATGGAAGAGATGAACCGCGCCATCGGAATGTGTGTGACAGGGAATATGGAGAGGGAATGTAAAAAGGAAGGTAGAACGACAAAGAGACAAAGCTCCAAAGTGTACCTGACTGTACAAACTGTACCTGTCTGGGAGTGTCGGGGAGATGGGAGGGATACTTTGCACACCTAGAGAAAGACGCCGAGGATAAATCGAGAGGAGAAGAACCAAAGAGCTCAGAAGTTGAGAAAAGAACCTTGGAAGAGTCCAGGTGTTCTTTAAAGCTTAGGAAGGCGAACCGGTTGGAGGTGTGCGCGCTGGACTGAAGATGATTTGTCGATCCACGGGGAAATTCTCCACGGTACGGTCTTATAAATCTCCGCCAAGCTACATCATATATCAAGGTACCGAACACTCCGTACTATATATACACAGGGACGGAGTACCCATGTATGTATTGGATTTGCGGTGTGGAATTTCGTCCGCAAGCTCACGAATATAGTGGATTACTTGTCCAACGTCATACGAATGGGAGAGAAAGGATACCACTTGACCCCCCACATGCATGGGATCGGCGTCAGTTAGTCATTGGCCGATGGACCCTAGATTCCCTCGTATAGAGGTGTTTTGTGACTTTCGAGAGAGGGATCAAGCATCATGTATCAACAAATACCTGGAATGCATATAGGAATGCCGATGAGAGTTCCTAAAAGCTTGAATGGCTGAAAGTTCAAAGGACCCATACAGGGGGAGACCCGTCACGAGGTCCGCTACAGAACTACAGAAGCGCCACAGCCTAGTTGGGAATTATCTCGATAGTCAGCTGTTCAAATCAGAGGTTAGGGGGTAAGATCAAGCCATTCATAATTCTATGAGTGCAACCTATTGCACTCTGTGCGCCGAATTCCATAGATTGGACGCCTCCCTTAGGCGTCCTAAGAAAAAAGCAGTCGCCAAATCCGTCGCTGTGCTCATGATCAGGGGTCATCTCAGAAACTCATTAAAAAGCATGAAATATAAGAGGAAAATCGCAAAAACTCCACTGGATCAGCCAGCCCATCCCAAAGCCACATGCGAATGGAAAAAAGTGAAAAAGGAATCTGCTCGAAAACGGAAGACATCGAACGGCCATGGCCGCTATTCAATCAGCGGCTTCAAGGCCTCTACCCCAGCCTGTAGCACCGCTTGGTTCTTCGTCTTCTTGAGACATGCAGTGAGGACATCAATTCCTCCTGCGGCGCGAACGGCAGCTTTAGCCCGGGCTCCGATATCACCTGTCGCAATGCAAGTGAGGTTGCGTATGCAGACCACACCTCGGTGAGCCAAGGCATCGTCATCCTCCTGGCACAATCCCAATAACAGTTCAACTCCCCGGGGTCGATCCAGGACAGCTGCTATGGCGGCATCGAACTCCGTCAACATCGCAAGAGCCCCGCCGGCAGCCCGTCGCGTCGGAGCGTCATCGGCATCGGTCAGAGCCAACAGAATGTGAAGGCGTTGGGCCGCTTGCTTGGAGCCATCTGCAAACTTGATAATGCCAGACTCGCAAGTCATCAGATTGCAGACCAGTTCGCAAGAAGCTCGCTGAACTTGAGCATTGCTAGACAAAAGAAGATCTTCCACCGCAGACCAGCCTTCCCGTACCATGAGTTCGGGTGCGGAGTCGTCATGCGGGTACGAAGCGAGATTCGTCAAAGCTAGGAGACTCTCAAATACTGGGAGTAGATCACGAGGTTGGTCGGCCGAGAACGAGGCAGTCTCGGGCGAAGAGAGGAGAGAGAGCAGGGGACGGACGGCGGATGTGACCTGGGGAAATCCAGATGCTGGGAATACATGTGAAGGATCAACAGAGATGAGGATCCGGGCCAGCGCGTGTGATGCGATGCGTGTTGTTTCGTTCCTCACAGGGCCAGAGCTACTCTGCTTCGGGGCTGCAAGGGCGAGTAACAGCTTCACCGCGCCTTGCTGGGCCAATGTTCCACGGGACTTTTGGGGTCTTGTCAAGGACTGTAGAATCTTTGCCGTGAGCTCATTGGTGGAAGGGTAGGAGACTCGGCCGCACTCAACGAGCAGAGTCATGATGCCTGCATCGATAACGGCGGAACATCGCGACAGGACAGCTTCCTCTTCATCTCGAATATCTATCGCTGGTGCCTTCACGGTAGAAGGGTCTGCGTAGTTCTTCAACTGTGCCATCTTCTTTTGCTCTTCGGATAGGTTGGGTAAGAATTTGGTGAGATTCAAAACGACTGTCAAGCCACCATAGAGCACGGATGAGTCTTTGGTGTTTTGTTTCATAGCCGCAATGAAGTTACGTAGGAAAACCGGATCATTGGCAAGTTGATCCTTGACGGACGGCTTCACCGAGGTATAAGCCAATCCTTCGATTGCGTGGGAGCTGTGTTCAACCTTTTGTTCAGACATCAGTCCCATGAATCGATGAACCAGTTCAGACTCGCTGTCTTGTTCCAAGACCTTACCGTTGCCAGCCGAGGGTTTATCGGGCTCGGATGCCCGAATCTTTGCCAGGGCCACTGCGGCTAATTCCGAGCAATTATCACTTCCATTGGTCAACATATGTGACAACCATTCTCCAAATTTCTTTGAAACAACCTCGCGGCACGGACGATTAATGCAAGCCGCATTGAGAAGTTCCAACACGAGAGCTTCTACCTTCTTGCTTTTGGTGTCTCGCGATGCGATTGGGAGGAGGAAGTTCATGAATTCGTCCGACAAGAAGAGATTGGCAGCTGCAGAGGGAGCCACAGGGAAGATGGCGGCCACCGCAGAGAAAGCAACGATGAGATCGCTGACACGGCCCTTGCCAAGAATGGACATGATCAGTGTCAAAAGCTTCTTCTCGCCTCTTTCCTTGGCGACATCGAGATATTTTGCAGTAGCCAGGGTCGCCTGGCTTCGGACTTCTAGCGGCAGCCGATTGTCCAGGGATGAGAGGATCACCTCCAAGCCTTCATCGTCGATCAAATGTTCTAGTTCAACGGCGTGGACAGCGAGTAACCGAGTAATTCCCTTTAAAGAGCGGCCATCAAGATCATGGCCCGATTCCATCAACTTGGCAATGAAAAGCTGGAAGAGTTCACTCTCGCAGTGGGATCGTGTTTCCTCCGATGTCCACACGGTGGGATCCAACACTACTGTATCAAGACACACCGCTGCTCTATCACCCCGATCATATATCTCGTCGAAGAATGCTGTGACAGAGGTCTGGAGCTGTGTAGAAAAGTACAGGCGAACACTGACGTTCTGTCGTACCAGCCCAGAGATGATCTCATCCTGTGTCGTCGACAGAGATTGCGGGCGCTGTGCGAGCAACAACTTCAGGCATTCCAAAGCGACGTTTTCCGGGGATTTCAGGCCGTCAGTCCGGAGATAAGTAGCAGCTTCTTTGCCCGCGCTTTCATCATTGTGTAAGGTATATCGGCGGCAAAGATCGAGAAGTTGGTGACCGTCTTTGTCTTCATGCTGAACTTTCAGAAAGGCGGCTTTCACTTGAGGATTTTCGGGGGCGATCGCAAGAGCTTCTCTAAGATTTCGGGAAGCAGCCTATTGGAGCTGCATATCAGTATTCCGCTAGCTTCCATTGAGAGGTGTTCAAGAAATAGATCACCTACCTCTCGGTGGCCCGCGTCGACCAGTTCGACAGCCTCTCGGGCCAGGTTTACAGCGCGCTCTTCGCCCTTTGCTTGAACCATTGCAGGGGTGCGCAAGAGAAGGGGCCAAAAATGAAGATTCCAGTTGTCGGATCGAGCTAGGAGGGTTAAAGTGGATGGGAGGGCCTTTTTTTTTCCTGGGTGAGGGGAGTGCGGAGCGGAGAGAAATAGCGATAAGGTGGGAAACAGACAACCGCTTTTTATGGGGAAGGGGGGAAAAGGAGGTCTTGGAAGAAGAAAAGCGTCGAAATATTAGAATTTTATTTTTGTTTCGGTTTGCCGCGCTGGCCTGTTCGAATTCCTAAAATGACACCATAGACCTTTCCCCGTACATCGATGTACTCCGTAATAATATACCGAATCTTACAGTTCCGCGCCCTTTTCCTTCACGAATCCCCATTATCAATTGGTCCGATAAGACACCAACCACAGCGACGAACCCCGTCACGTTGTCGATAAGCAAATACTCAGCTTAGTCCTTTTCGTCTTTTGGTGTGACCTCGCAAGTCAACATTCCAAGGTCTCCGAAGAGATATCCTGTGGCCTCCGGTGTGCGGGAACCCATTTTTATACAACTGCCGTGAACAGTAGAAAGGCATCTTGGAACCCAGATATGTACATCACAGGCACTAGTTTCATCTTGGCGCATTCAAGGGATATATGCCAAGAGAAACCATATCCTTTCTTTCAAATCGGCTGAAAACAGAGCATCTTTCAACCAAAGTTGCTCAGACATTCAAGGTAATTTCAGTCACCCACGGCTTCGCGGTGTGGGATTCAATCCGATTGGAGTGTTGGTTCTCCCGAGATCGGTCTGCCTGTGAGTCAGTCGAAGATCCCGCAGAGTCAATTTAGTATGAGGATGTAAAAGGATGCAATTCAACGACGTAGGTTGGAGATATATATTGGAAACAGATATAGGACAGCTATAGTTGTTGTTATCACCCCGTGACCAGCTTATCGCTTCAAGATCCTCGACAGGTACCTAGAGCTTGGACTTCAAAGTTAATTCCGGCTGTATGTGCAGCACAGGGTTCTAAATAACCAGCCTGGCATCAATCTGTGAGCCCAGCTCACAATAATGAACACCACCTTGGACCGATCCTCCATTTCAATACAATGAATTCCGTGGATGCTTCGGAGCATTATGAGTTAGGAGCTACCGGTCCGTATTCTCTACACTTACAAGAGGCGAACAACTGGCTAACCATATCGACATCCAGACCTCTCCCCATCCCTGCTCACCATAGTCATCGACACAAACCCACACGCCTGGGCCGCACTGGAAGACTCCCTGCCACTCTCTAAAGCAATCGCCAACATCTTAGTCTTCATCAACGCCCACCTAGCATGCAACTATGCCAACGAAGTCGCCGTAGTCGCATCGCACAGTCAAAAAGCAGCATGGCTCTACCCATCCCACGATGATCCCCGAAAGCGCACCGCCGATCGCGACGGCGACGTCGTAATGAACGGCGCAAGCGACACCCCAGCCCCAGAAACGAACAAATACCGCCCCTTCCGCATCGTCGAAGAACAAGTCACCCGCAATCTCAAAGAACTAATGGACTCGACGACTGGCGACGATCTACGCGGCAACATGTCCACGATGCTAGCGGGCGCGCTCACCCTCGCCCTGAGCCACACCAACCGACGCACACTCGCCTGGGCGGAGGAGCACGGCGGCGCCAACGCCGAAGATGCAGCGGCCGATGGCAACGGCGGGGGCGGGGGCACATCCACAAACCGGTACTCAGCCTCGAACGAGGACGAGCGGCTGCAGAGCCGCATCTTGGTTGTTTCTGTGAGCGGGTCTACCGATGCGGCCCACCAGTATATCCCTGTCATGAACAGCATCTTTGCCTGCCAGCGCTTGAGCATCCCCATCGATGTGTGCAAGCTCAGTGGCGATGCGGTCTTCCTTCAGCAGGCGTCTGATGCTACCAAGGGAGTTTATATGGCTCTCGCCGAGCCGCGAGGCCTGCTGCAGTATCTGATGATGGCGTTTTTGCCTGATCAGCGCTCACGTCGTCATTTGGTTCTTCCGACTCGGGTGGATGTCGATTTTCGTGCTGCTTGCTTTTGTCATCGCCGAGTAGTTGATGTTGGCTTCGTCTGCTCCATTTGTCTCAGTATCTTCTGCGAGCCGCCCCCTGGTGGTGACTGCATGACTTGTGGCACGCATCTGGATATCGGAGACAATGCCAAGCCTGCTCTGTTGCCACGGAAAAAGAAGAAAAAGAAGCGTGTTAACGGGGCATCCGGAACGGGAACGCCCATGTCGACGCCTACGCCGGGTCCTTGATATCTTTTCTACGGGAGGTCATATCGTTAGAGAAAAAAAAAGATAACCAGATGGTGACATCTGGCTTTATGATGTCTGGGTTGGTATTACTCCTGGATCACACATTCGCTTGATGCTATGAGCAACACTACACGTAGCTGGTTCACAAGGAAGAGATTTGGGACAATTCTCATCATACTAGTGTGAAACGAATAGGTACACACGGGGAGGACAGCCGGGAATTTTGAAACACTCTGATCACATTGTTGGTGTCCTATCTTAAAGAAGGAGGCTATCTAGGGAGAGCAAGAAATATCCGATGAAGCAATCGCTCGTCTTGTCATCCTGTCACCGTGGAAGACATCAATGGTGTAAGGCCAAGGAAAACAATGGAGAATCGGGTATACCAAGGCAGAGATTTCAGATGGGAGAGACTGGACTGAGGCAGATACAGGTGATTGTGGGCGAAAGCTACCTCGTCCATCGATGAGTACCAACAGACCATAAGTCAGCAGAGCAAAGAGGCTTCGCTGCAAGATAGTTGTAGTTCGCATCCAGAGTGAATTGCAATTCTTATTACATATCCTTGTCAGCATCCACAGCTTATATCTTCAACCTAATAATGAAACTTACAGTTATTTGCAAACCTGATTCGACAACCTCCCTGGGCAATGGTTCCTCGCGAGCCTCGCGACATCAGACAAGAAGGTCTGTTCGAATTGCTAGACATCGAGGCAATGGCCTGAAAGATATGTTTAGCATCCAGTCCTGCACCATGGTAATAATGAATAATGAAAGACTCACAAAAGAGTCGGTGTTGTGGGCAAAGTAGAGTTCGATGCCCGAATTGTTTTTCTTCACAACGACCACCCCAAGGGCTCCAAAGAGGACGCTGTTGCTCACGGCAGGGTGTTCTAACAGACAAGCAAACAAATGTTAGTGTTTGGAGAATTAAAGCAGCGAAAAGAAGAAAACGGACCGTTAAACTCCCTTTTCATCCATGCCCTGATAGCTTCTTCCTCCATCACCTGGGTAAAAAGGCCATTGTCGCCCATCTTCTGACTGTAATACATCCTTTGCGCACAAGTGCTTGCCGCCAGTGTTGAGGCAATAAGCTCTCCAGTCCCAGATGTAACAACTGCACATGTAGTTCCATCCACATCAGATGGGTCTTGTGGAATAACATGGGTGCCAATGCCAATTAGGGCTGCAGGACCAATTCGACCTCGGTGCTTCATGCCAATGCCACCAGAAGAAGATCCCGCTGCAATGTTTCCATACTTATCAATGGCAATCGCGCCAACAGTGTCTGTAATCGTATCCTCGTCTTGTTCACTATCGGCGGCATCGGGGCTACCATCCCGAGATAAGAATGAGGGGGAGACAGGTTGCACAGGTAGCTGTGAGTTCGCGAGCTTGGCCTTTTTCTGACTTTTATGCTCCAGCGATGCTCCCGGGCGCCCCTTCACATCCGCAAAAAAGCTTGGATCGGCCTGGTTTCTGATTTCTTCGTCTGCTGCATGGCTGGTCGGATGAGCTCCTGCTTGAGAAGCACGCTCGAGACGTTCAAGGCGAGTGTCAAGGGGAGTCATGGGCCGGCGAATCCAGGGATCGATCATTTCGCCACGGGTTTCATTTTCATAATCATTGACTTCTGCGGCCCATACCTGATAACGCTCTAGAGCGACGGGCGAGATCAAGGCTTCATCGGGCATGATCACCATGCCATGTTCCCATGCAAAGTCCTTGGCACCTTCTCCAACCAAGAAGTTAGGGGGCACCCTTGACATGCCCAGCTGTACATTAGACTTATCATAAATCTTCCGAGCAAGCATGATTGGATTCCTGATGTCTAGCAGGCTCACGTGTTAGGCAAGACTTTCTGAGCAAGAGACACAACAAACTTACTGGGCACAGCTCCAACCGCTCCATTTAGCCCATGATGATCGACAATTGAGGCATCGCCTTCAACAACCCCCTTTGCGTTCAAGTTGCTTCCAAACCCTGCATTTGTAATCGGGTTATCTTCAAGCACCATTATGGCTGCTTCGACGGCGTCAATGGCGGTGCCACCACTCTTTAAGAATGCCATAGCCTTGAGTGCGGCGCTAATTCAATTCACTTATTAGACTGTGTAACCATCAAATAAAAGACCGAGACTGACACTTCACAGGCTTTCAAATGCTTGTGCTCATTCTCGTGGCTGTGGAAGCCCGCCCCAGCATGAATAAATATGGCACAAACGCCCTCATTCCCGGAGGTTTGCGACATCTTGAAATGGTCAACAAGTGCAATTTAGGGATCTTCCACGAGATTGTGCGCGATCGATCGAGGTATCAGGTCGAGGTCAAGAGAAGCGTTGCCGATTAGGCCCGAATATCCAAGGCGATACCTTGAATCGGGTATGTCGAGAATACCAAGTTTGCCACGACGTCAAGCTAAAGTGAAGATATGGATGAGGCGCGCGAACTGGCAAAATCTTGGACGCGTCTGCAGTGTACTCGCAGATTGTTGGATCGAAATGCAGGTGCTCTTTGTGAGATCCTCACTTCAAATTGAAACGACTGACCGCCTAGTTCCAGCCTAAAGAATCACTGGGAACTAATGCTGTAACGATATAGTAGACTTTGGGCACGGGGAGTGAAGCGAGAGAAGACAAGAGTCTACGGCGAGACCATCCGTGTCAAGGTAAGAGAAGAATACAGATAACGAAGGGCAGCACTATGCGTGCCGTGCATCAGAAATGATAATCTTGGAGTAATAAAAGACTGAGGGGCAAGAGAGGCTTAGGGATTGATGATGTGCGAATGAATAGTTAGAGAATATTGCAGATTTAGGGAAACTCTCATAGCACTGGTCGCTCTTGCCATTTTGGTCTAATTTCACTTTTTGCTGAAAGTAAGCAGTACAATTGCCGTCACCAGGGCGACATACAATGGATGGTTGTCTGCTTTCTTATGTACAAAGTAGGAAAGACCTGAGGATATTTTGATACTTCCCGGCACATGATGTTGACGTGTGACCGACCCCCTTAGGTAATCTGACCTCCGGGCACTGCATCTCCCCCCGCCTTGTCTGCCTGTCCTCTTGGTCTCTTGAAGTCAGGGCATTTTCGGCTACCAATTGAGATCCAGCCGATTCTCTCATTATTGTCTCACTCTATACATCGCCTACACTTCTTTCAACCCCTCACTGTATTGTGATCGTTCCTAGGCCCAACCACCCGCCATGGCGTCCCAAACACCAGCCGTTGTCATGGACAAGTAAGTTCACATCTGCAAGGGTCAAAGTAATATTTCACTGCTTACTCTATACATTTTCTAGTGGAACTGGCTATTCTAAGCTTGGTATGTTTTTCTATGGTGGTTAAAGAGCTCGCGATCACGGATTAGGCTGACATGCTACCTCCAATATTCCAGGTTTCGCCGGTAACGACTCCCCGTCATTTGTATTTCCGACTGCAATTGCAACCAAGGCTGGTGCTGGAAGTACTGGTAGCTCTGGGGGCGGCCGACCCCCAGTCGCAAACAAGCCCTCGTTCCTAGGCGCTGGCAGTGGGAGCTCCAACCTGTCTGCAAAGCGTGGCACGGAGGACCTGGATTTCTTTATTGGCGATGAAGCGCTGGCTGCGGGCAATGGTCCAGGATATGCCGTTAACTACCCGATCCGGCACGGACAGATTGAGAACTGGGACCACATGGAACGATTCTGGTCGAACTCAATCTTCAAATATCTGCGCGTGGAGCCCGAGGACCACTACTTCCTACTCACCGAACCTGTAAGGCGACTTTATATGATAGCAGCGTGCTGTGTTTAAAATTGTGAAACCCCTGACATTTTTGGATTATAGCCTCTGAACCCTCCCGAGAACCGCGAGAACACCGCCGAAATCATGTTCGAGTCGTTCAACTGCGCCGGTCTTTACATTGCTGTACAAGCAGTGCTCGCCCTTGCTGCCTCATGGACATCCTCAAAGGTGACGGACCGATCCCTGACTGGAACGGTCATTGACTCGGGTGACGGTGTTACCCACGTTATCCCTGTCGCCGAGGGCTACGTCATCGGATCCTCTATCAAGAGTATCCCGATTGCCGGACGAGACATCACATATTTCGTGCAGAGCTTGTTGCGTGACCGTGGAGAGCCCGATAGCAGCTTAAAGACAGCAGAGAAAGTGAAGGAGGAGTACTGTTACGTCAGCCCCGATATTGTCAAGGAGTTCGCACGTTATGACCGCGAGCCAGATCGCTTCCTGAAGCACACCGTCACTGCGCCGAACGGGCGGAGTGTAAGTATCGACATTGGATACGAACGTTTCCTCGCCCCGGAGATCTTCTTCAACCCCGAAATCTACTCGTCCGACTTCCTCACCCCGCTTCCCAATGTTGTTGACGGCGTCATCCAGTCCTCCCCCATTGACGTCCGGAGAGGTCTCTATAAGAACATTGTGCTGTCTGGTGGTTCTACTCTGTACAAAGACTTTGGCCGTCGTCTACAGCGTGACATTCGTCACTTGGTGGATGCACGAATCCGTGCCTCCGAGGCTCGCAGCGGTGGCGCACGGAGTGGTGGTCTCGATGTTGCCGTTGTCACTCACAAGCGCCAGCGCCATGGTCCCTGGTTCGGGGGTAGTCTGCTGGGCCAGACGCCTGAGTTCCGGAGCTACTGCCACACTAAGGCGGAGTATGACGAGATTGGTCCTAGCATTGTGCGGCGGTTTGCGCTGCTTGGTGGCCCGGGAAGCTCGTAAGGGGAAAATGAGTGAACCTTATCATTAGATACTTGTCAATCGATGTAGCTCAGCCTTTTGTTCATAGTTCGTTGTCTTATCTTTCTTCGGTGGTGCTGCTCTCTGTTTTCTTTTTACCCAAAACGGGTTGCGGGTGTTAGCGGCATTCTCTACAGTGCACAAAGCCGATTTATAACGTAGAGCATATAGGCAGTCTGTAGCCTGAATATCTTGAAATTTTTTCAAAACCGAAAATGTATTAGACAGCGTACATATCCACTAGCGCCATCATGCTTTTTTGGACTTCCTTCCCAAACGCCACGAGGTATGCAATGTCAGATAAATGTACAGCCTGAAAAGGCTCAATATTATTACTTTTCTGGGGTTTTTTCACTCAAACGGCCTCAGCCTGAGGAAAAGAGGTGCGGTTCAAAATAGCCACACCCTCCACGTGACCGGTCTGAGGGAAGAAATCAAAGCCACGGACGCTCTCAATCTCATAGCGAACATTCTGCTTCTCATCACCCTGAACCATAACAGCAATGTCACGAGCCTGGGTATGGACGTTACAGCTGACATAGACAACACGACGCGGCTTGAAATCAAGCATCTGACGCAAGAAGTCTTCTGAACAACCCTTGCGAGGTGGGTCAATAACCAGCAAGGTCTGATCTGGTGGGTACGGAACTTCCTTGAAGAGAGTGGCGGCGTCGGCAGCGGCGAAGCCTGTGTTGGGAAGATTGTTTGCACGAGCATTCTCGCGTGCTGAAACGATAGAATCGCCTCCAATGTCGACACCGAGACTGGACTTAAACAAAGGGGAGAGGGTGATTGTGAACAGGCCTGAGCCGGAATATGCGTCCAAGAGGTACTTGATTGGTTTTGCGTCTTGGTCGTTGCCTGCAGGAATGGCTTGAGAGCGGATGTACTCTGTGAAGCCGGACAAGATTGAGTTGTTGTTTTGGAAAAAGGCACCTGCCTTGTTGCTAAAGATGTAGTCGTCGACGTACTCGAAAGACGTCGCGTTGTTGTCTGTGATGCAACGCTTTTCTTCAATGTAGTTTTCGCGCTCAATGCGGATCACATCGCCCGTGTCTGCGTTGGGAGTAGCGGCAATCCCGCCGACATTGGGAGTCTCTCCATCGGCGGTAGGCGCGGCGTCTTTGGGAATTCGTGCGGTAGACTCCCGCATCAGGAGAGTGGCACCTCGTTTATAAGAACGGATGTTCTCCGCAACTCGTTTCCTCTCACTAGTGAGTCCGCGACGCACAATGTCTGTGCCCAGGGGACAGTCTTCGATGTCCATATCGAGTCGTCGGTTCTTGTATGTGAATCCAATTGGGGGGACCTGCGGTTGTGAGGGTTCTTCGCCATCCTGCTTAGAACCTTTGCCTGCACCACCATGTGCGAAATGAGGGGTGAGTTTTGTTCGATATCCAAATTGCATTGGCGAAGCAAAGGTTTCTCCAATGGTAGGAATAAGCTCCGGGATCAACCCAGAGAAATTGGCATAGGCTTTCTCCACAATGCGCCGTTTGTGAGCAAGCTGGTCCTCGTAGGACATCATCTGAAGTTGGCACCCAGAACACTCCCCGAAGTACTTGCATCCAATCAGCGCATCGTTTCTTTGAGGACCTGGTTCGATCACTTTAACAAAATCGGTCAAGCTGTACGACAATGACTCGAAATGTTTGACCAATTTGACCCGTACGGTGTCTCCGGGGACCGTGAACGGAACAACATAGACATATTTCCCATTCTCGGCGAGCGCTAGACCATCACCTGTTGAGGAAAGCTCAGAAATCTTGACATCAATCTCGGTGAACTTCTCTGGAAGGGAGAAAGGCACGCTGTCGCCGTTGGTTTCAGCCTGCTCAGTTTCGTTCCGTTTGAGGAGTTGGTTTATATCGCAAAGCAGGACCTCATCATGTCCACTGCTCTTGTTGTTCTTGTCGACCTTCGCCTTCTTGCGCTTGCCGTCAAAGTGTTTCTTGGGACCGTTCTGCATTATTGCGGGGACTGGCGCATTCGTTGAACGGCGTTGACGGTATAATTTGGATGCTGGCCGCGCTTGAAGGGCTATAAGGGTCTGAGAAGACAGAGAAGAAGTGAAGCGCCGAACAGATGACCGTATTGCAAACATGTAAGGTGAAAAGCGACAGCACAATAATTTCTAGAACGAAAATCATCAAATGAGAAATTTATTAGAAACGCATCTAACGCGTCGTTGATTGGTCAGACACTGACCGCCCGCAAGAAAGAACTTCATTCCGACGCTTCACCTCCGGCTGGCCTCTTTTGCCTTTGCGTCCTCCAATTGCCTCCGCATTTCGCCCTTTTCTTCATTTTTAAAGCTCTTAACTGGCCTACCGCTGGCTGGTGAGCTCACAGCAACGCCACCATGAACATTACACGGCCGGCACGATGCCTTTTATGCAGCTTCACCCGTGCTGCCGCCCCAGGCACGCGAGTCCCTCGACGCCAATTCCATCCTACTCCCGCGTCTCTCTCCAACCGGAAACCCAAGTTCCCAAATGTTAAGGCTCCCCGGGTGGAGGAAATCAAGCCTTACACGGAAGAGCAGAAGGCTAAGCTTGCCAAGGAGTACTCGGAGGCACAGATGGCTGCTATCGAAGCCGGCGAAGCCGCTATCGACCCGAAGGATCTGGCAGAACAGATGGACGAGCGCAGTGATCCCATGGCATTTAAATACGTCGACGACTTCTCTGTTATTGAGCCAGGCATTGATCGACACCAGCGCTCCCCACAGTCGAACTCGGATTACAATTTCACGCTGAAAACCGAGGACGATTTCGTGAAGGACTTCGGTCAGTTCTTTGCCGAGATGCCTGATAACACGACAGGTGCAGACTTCGTTCGGTTCGCAGAAAACCTGCGCCTCACCCACGGCAAGGAGGAGAGCGAGCTGTCTCCGCACAGCGCACTTGTTCCGGATCTCTTCGGACCTGGAGAGACCATTGATGAGCCCCGCGTGGAAGAGCGGAAGACAGCTGCCGAGAAGGGTGAGAAGGAGCGGTCAGCGGCGGCTGAAGAAATGACAGACGCCCTCAAGAGCCTGCTCCTAGCTACGGGCTACACGGAGAGCCAGGTCAAGGGCCTCCGCACCAAGACCCTTGTTTCACACAGCGTCACCAACCAGACCCGACTAGGAAAGGTCCGCCGTGCATACCGTCTTTCCATTGCTGGTAACGGAAATGGTTTGCTAGGTATCGGTGAGGCCAAGTCCGATGAAGCCTCCGATGCAAAGATCCAGTCGCAATACCGTGCGATCCGAAACATGCAGCCCATTCCCCGCTACGAGAACCGAACAATCTATGGCGATGTTAAGGGCAAGGTGGGAGCCACAGAGTTGCAGCTGATGCACCGTCCACCCGGTATGCCTAGTTTCATTCCCTCGGACATTTTCATTTTTGCTAACAATAATAGGCTTCGGACTCCGTGTTCAATATCTCATCTACGAGATGTGTCGCGCTGCCGGTATTCATGATCTCTCCGCCCGAGTTGGTCGCTCAAGAAACCAGATGAACACAGTCAAGGCCGCCTACCAGGCGTTCATGAGCCAGCGTAACCCGGAGCAGATTGCTCACGCACTCGGCAGAAAGATTGTCGATGTGCGCAAGGTGTACTACGCAGGGAAGATTTAGAGCCGCTCATGGCCTTGACTAGCTGCTTCGTCTCAGCGTGTATATAATGCTTCTCTTTTCCTTCCTCTTCTTCTTGTGTCTTTTGCATGTACTTCTATAAGTTGGTTGTTAAACATGACGGGTCATCAATTCTCGGTAATCATGAGCTATTCACAGCATATCTGGAAAATCACATATCACAAGGTTCCTTAGCATAACACCATCTGATTCGCGCCAGAACAAAAATCTAGAAACAACACCCCGGGTATAATACGCGAGTAAACAAAAAAAAAAACCATCAAATGCAACAGGCAATTCCCATGCCTTCCTTTCTTATTGGAACGTCATGTCTCCCTCTCCCTCATATCCTCCATGCTGGTACTCCTGGTCCTGGAAACGTCGATCCTCGTTTTGCTGTTGTTGCTGTTGCTCTTCATTCTCATTCCAGATCTGCTGCTGCAAGACAATGCTATACACACTGGCCTTGAGCAAAGTGCATACAGTCGCAGTCTTGCGCTCAAGGAGACGAAGACCGTCGAGAGGCATAGAGGCGGGGGAGCCGGCGAGGTCGGCGAGTTTATCGGAGAGCTGCGCGCGAGGCATTTATCAGTAACCAGTATAACCAGTATTTGTAGTTGATATCATTTCCAATCGAATATTGTTCATATTCATTTCCTGTGCAGAGATTGTCCCAGAAAGATAATCAAGGCGAACAAGGTCTTCTCCACGTACCTGGTTGACATTCCGCAGCAATCGAGCGTATTCCTCCAGCACTTCCTGCTCCAGATCTGAAACGAGCGGATTGTTACCCAAGAGAGGGTTATTCGAGTGGCCCCGGCTGTGCGAGGCGTCTGCGTCGTTCATTGATTGGGGTATTGGAGGGGTGGAGGTTTCCGCGGGGTCGACCTCGGCGTACGAGTAATCGTTGTCTGAATCTTCGGGCGCAAAGGCAGACATTATGGAGGATGGGGTTGGTTGCTGTTTATTGAATGTTGTAGATGTTGAGCTGCGAAGTCTGCGAAGGCTGTGGTGTCATGTTTCGTGTTTTCTGGGGTTCCGCTGAGACGCGTTCCCCAAGCTTCCGCTGAGATCCGAAATCTACTGGGGTGGGTTTTATGGCCTTAAACTTATTTCAACGTCAGTCAATAGGTTAATATTATGTGTTCGAGGTTATAGCCATCTCTGTATAGCCTCATTTTCAAAAATTCGCCCAAACACACATCTGATGCCTATTTCAATAACACAGGTGTCATTAAAGACACATGGCTATAAATACATATTGAAACCATCAAGGACCGTCTCATTTTATACTGTTGTATATTATGAATACTTCGTGGGCTTTTCCTTTTTCTATTAGGGGTAAAAATATGTCTTGAC